CTTCCCAGGCTGGGCAGCCAGGGGTGTGTGGCTAGCTCTGTCCACTGAGCTATGAGAGGAGGAGATGTGTTCCTCCAGGATGAAGAATGGAAGGGCACAGGTGAGCTCTCCAGGCTTCCTCTTCCCTGTCACTGTGACTAGTGAACCGAGTGCGGGAGATAGTGCAGCTACAAGTGGAGAAGCTTCTGTCCACCCCTTGCCAGCCCTCAGTAGACATGTAGATTGTGCAAGAAGTACACCTATGTTGTGTTGTCCTGAGCTGTGGAGAATTATTTTTACTGTCTTACAGTCTAACTCTTGCATACTCCCTCCCTTAACAGAAGCCACTGAGTAGTCAGTGATTCCAATGGAAGTTCTTATCCTAATATGATCCCGAGTTGAAAACTTTAGGGGGAAAACTAGCCTGTTTTATTATGTCCTTAGTTCTGTGCAGTTGAAGAGATTTCAACTCTTGCCATCCAAAGAGATGACAAATATCTGTTCTCTCTCAGGTGAACTGTGGTTGATTCCCGGTGGCTATCTGGAGTGGTGTTTTGAAAATGATTCTGAGGCAAAGTCTTGGCCACGCATGGAGGATAACACAATTGATTAGTAATGTTTGTTGTGGGCATGGGCACAGGGAGTGGGGGCAGAGGTGGTGGTCTCTGCCATCCTTGTGTCTCTCCACTGTCGAAGGGATACACATACCCTTCCCATTCTCAGCAATAAGACCCTAGTGAGCCATTCAAACCCACCCACCCACCCCTGAGATGCCTCCATGGGAAAAAAGAATTAAGTAGTAGGTTCACCACTGATCTGTTTGGAGCTTGCAGACTTGGTCAGGTATCTTAACCAGAACATTGGAATCATATCTTACTTGAAAAAGTAACTGTCCTTAGGACAAACCAACCAGAGAGTCTGGTGTTTAAAGCAACCAGAACTCAGACATATCCGTCCTTTCTATCCATCACCAAGACTCTCTACGTAGATTCTCTCTATTCATCTTACTGTTTCACCGAGAGACACACCCAAGCTGACGCTGGGGGAGAATGAGGCACCATTCTGACAAGTGTAGATGCTATGTGAATGTTTCTGGTCTGGTTGTCCCATGTGAGGTGGGTTATTCTTCTCCCTCCTACTCCTCACCTGGACCCTTGAGCTGCCACCAGGACTTCCACCAGCACTGAAGGGGTGGCCTAATCTTCACTGATCATTGTGAGTACAGCATATGCCCGCGGCGCCATAGGCATTAGCTTGCTTAATCTTTACTATAATCCTAGGAGGCAGGGGTGACTGTATTTTTACAAATGAGGAATGTCAAGCATAGAGAGGCTTAAGAATCTAGCCAAAATCTCAGCAAGTCAATCTGGAAATATTTGATCCTAGAGCACACACTTGATTAGCTATGTGATAAAAGAAAACAAATCTGACTGCTTACTAATATCTTTGATTCAACGTAGTGATTAATAACAGGAGCTTCAGAGTCTAAGAGGCTTTGCCTGGTTCACAGCATTTTTCTGTTTGTTTTACCTGTGAGAACTCAGACAAACGATTCTGCCTCATTTTTCTTATCTGTAAAGTGGGAACACTTACAGGGTTTATTTCATCTTCCTGTGGGGATTTAGTGAGAACATGAAAATCACGAGATTAGGGCACATCTCATAGAGTGGTCAGGTTTATTATATGTGAGACCCTGGCATATAATAAACATGTTTTTAAAAGGTTTTTATTAGTATTCTCAATGATTTCATCATTCTTTCCTCCATGCCTGATTATCACAGGAAAAATTAAAATGGTTTATTTTATATTAAAGTTGGCTGAATGGAAAAAATAATGGCCATTTTAGAGAAAATTTCTGCCAAATAAATGTCAAGTTTATTAAGATCAAAAAGCCTTTTTAACTGATCCATTTAGGGATTTTTTGCATGTGTTTCTTTCAGTTTTCTATTGATATACTGCAACAAAATGCCATGTCTTACATTGCCCTAGCCTAGACTCAAAAAAGTACTTAAAGTGTGTCTCAGAGGGCTAATCTATTATTTTATTAAAAGTAAAACAAAAAGGTAAGACTTTCTCCTTAACCTCACTGAAAGCATGTGGAGTTACAGTGACCCCTGTTCTTTGATTGAGATTATTCAGAAACGCCATCAAATGAGAAACCATTTGCAGTTGAACTGAACTGCCAATTAGAAGACTGGAAATGCAAGTCTCAGCTACCCAGGGTCAACATGACACGTTAAGGAAATGTACTAGTCAGATTCTCCAGAGAAACAGTCAACAGGATCCGTGTGTGTGTGTGTGTGTGTGTGTGTGTGTGTGTGTGTGTTGTGTATCACCTGTTTTTCTTTCTCTCCTCTTCCTTCTTTCCTTCCATCCTTCCTTCCTTCTCTTTCTTTCTTCTTTCTTTCTTTCTCTTTCTTTCTTTCTTTCTTTCTTTCTTTCTTTCTTTCTTTCTTTCTTTCTTTCTTTCTTTCTTTCTTTTCCTTTCTTTCTTTCTTTCTTTTTCTTTCTTTCTTTCTTTCTTTCTTTCTTTCTTTCTTTCTTTCATTTTTTCCTTCCTTCCTTCCTATCTATCTATCTATCTATCTATCTATCTATCTACCTATCTATCATCTATCTATCAATCATCTTTCTATCCTATAGAGAGAGAGGGATACAGATTTATTTTAAGGAATTGGTCCATGTGATTGTGGAGACTGGCAAGTCCAAAATCTGCAGGTAGACTGGCAGGCTGCAGGCCCAGGGCAGAGTTGCAGTTCGAGTGTGAGGCAGTCTGCAGCATTCCTTTTAGCTTGAGGCAGGTTAGTCTGTTTCTAGGAAGGCCTTCTACTGATTAGATGAAAACCACCCATATAATAGGGATGTTCTGCTTTACTCAAAGAATATTGACTTAAATGTTCATCTCATTTAAACACACACACACACACACATAGACACAAGATCTTCACAGAAACATCTGGGATAATGTTTGCCCAAATATCTGAGTACCATGGCCTGGCCAAGTTGACCCATAAAATTAACCATCACAGGAAGTGATGCTATACTTTGAGGTAGGGTTCCCATCTGTACAATCACCTGCATCCCACATCAGAAAAATCCATCTCAGTAACTACATCATAAGAATCCATCTGTCCCACTGAGGTGTTATTATTCCCTGACCACTCTATGAGATGTGCCCTAATCTGAGTTTGTACTTGACTTCTCTTATTACTGTTGCAATCCACATCATGTTTCCAAATTCATGGACCAATATAATAGAAGAAAAGGTATGTGCAGATGTCCATAAGGACATGGACAGAGAAAGGGGGAAGTTTTTGTCTTTTTAAGTGTCTATTAATGAGATTCTCAACCATATAGCTCCCTATGCTTCAATAAAATGGTATTATCCTTTCATGTAAAATGCATTTAATTTTTTTCCAGATCCTGATGTCTGGACAGAGCTGAGTATGGACAGAGCTGCTCCCTTTACCCAGACATTTGTTATAGTTCAAGTGTAGGCTGAAGACTGAACAACAGATACTGGAGACTGTACAGTGAAATGGTAATAAGAATATGGTAATTATACACCAATAATGAACTCTAAGAAAGAGAAACTTAAAAACACACACACACACAATCCCATTTACCATTGCAACAAAAAAATAAGATACCTAGGAATAAACTTAACCAAGGAGATAAAAGACCTATACTTGGAAAACTACAGGACATTGAAAAAAGAGGTAGAGGAAGATACAAGCAAGTGGAAGGATACACCATGTTCATGAGTTGGAAGAATTAATATCATTAAAATGTCCATACTACCCAAAGCAATCTATAGATCCAATGCAATCCCTATTAAAATACCAATGGCATATTTCACAGATCTAGAACAAATATTCCAAAAATTTATATGGAACCAAAAAAGACCACAAATAGCCTCAGCAATCTTGAGAAACAAGAAAAAAGTTGGAGGGATCATAATACTGGATATCAAACTATACTACAAAGTCATTATAATAAAAAAAAGCCTGGTACTGGCATAAGAATAGGTATATAGACCAGAAATCAACCCACAACATTATAGTCAAATACTATTTGACAAAAGAGGCAAGAGCATACAATAGAATAAAGACAGTCTCTTTAATAAATGGTACTGGGAAAATTGAACAGATACATGCAAAAAAATGAAACTAGACCATCAACTTACAATGCTGCACTGTCCTGTGGGGTTGTCCTTCTCCCTGGCCACAACTTATGAATAGCCCCTTCATTAAAAGCTCTTCTAATTACCTAATTTTAGTATGCTACTGTGTCTGCTGGAGCCAACTAAAACAGTATTCAACATAGGTTTTATTTCCCTTTTTTAAAAAAGTTGGGGGAAAAATTCTCCAAAACATTTCTGAGTTTTTGAAAACCATAATTGAACAAATACCTTCTAATGTTGCTCAGTATTCTTTAAGCAACCACGTAATAATTTAAATCCAAAGCCCAACACAAATATTCTTTGTCCTGCTATGAATAACACATAATCTTTAGTGTTTCCTTTTTTAATCCTAGATCCAAGGAAACTCAGCATTAAACTCAGTGTTTGTTGGCAATGATAAATTCAATAGAATATTCAGTAAAAATTATTTCTCTACTTCTTGACATGTTTTTAAAAACTAGTTTTCATCCTACTTAGTAGTTGTTGTCCTTGTTCCGTGTTTTTAATCTGGCGAGTCATCTAAATTCTCTTGGGACTAAGCAGAGAACACATCCTAATTAATAAGCACTTCAACATAAAAATCAGGCCTGCATCAGCATTAAACTATAAGAAAGAACCAAGAAACCCAGGTTCACAAGGATCCACTTGAAAACAAGCCCCAGAGGCCAGAGGCCTGGAGAAAGGCAGATCCCACCCACCGGTGCCTAGATACAGGCCGTTATCCATCACCAAGCCCTTCTCTCCACACCCCTGGAAGCAACCCCAGCCCTGGATACTATTTCTGTTTCTTCAGTTCCCTGTGGAGCTTTATAGATATTTAGGAACAGCCCAAACTTACTCTTGGTGTGGGGCTCCTGTCTTGGCCAGCAAAGTCAGCACAAAAAACATGAAAATCACGAAGACTGCGAGACCAACCCAAAATCCAATCACAATGGAATCTGTAAGACAGTGAATACTGGGATTAGCATTTCGCAGGAGCTGAAAACTGGAGCATTCAAGAAATCTGAACTTTTTGGTACATGAAATGATTGTTGGTACATCAACAATCTATAGGACAGCCCTGACCCATCCATCAACTGGGGACAAGTAAGATGCAGGGATGAGAGAGAGAGAAGAGTCTGGGTCACCTCCATGTTCTCATCTCAGGTGACACGGAGAGACTTTTGCCTTATTGACCGCTGGGTTCCATTTCCCAGTAAAGGAACTGAGGACATACATAGGCCACCCAGGACCCCAAGATTCCATTGAAGTATCTTGAGTTAGAAAATGCCATTTTTAGAATAAACTACAATATACTGTTTTAAATGAATTCTGATTCAAACCAACCCATTTATTTTTTCACTGCTGTTCATGCTGGAATAGTTGAGGTCCTCATTGTCTCTTGCTGAGAATAATCAAATGGCCTCCTGTGTTCTCTTCTATCTTTCCTTGTGCAGCTCAGTGTGAACTGGCTTTAACCCAGCTCTGATAATATTGCTCTCTTATGACAAAAAGATAGACCCAACCTTCTCCAGGTTAAAAAAGTTTCCATACATAAAGCACTTTAAACAATGCCTGGCATCTGAGAAAAAGGTAATCTACATTTGCCAGCTATTATTGTTAAATTATTTTCTCCCAGCTTACCCCTACCTTAAAACCCATGTTTCACATCAGACCAGGAACATTGTGTCCCTGTATTTACCTTAATCTTAGCCACAACTTCCTAAGCCCCATGACTTTTCAGAGGCTCTTACCTTTACCTGGCTAGAACAACTGTCCCCAACCTAGAGCTGATGCAAGTCCATCCACCCTTAAAGCCATGCCTACACCATCTCCTTCACCAAGCCTGGGCGAATTTCCCCAGCTGATGAGCTCTCTCCTGTCCTTGAACCCCGCGGCATTTTTGTCTGTGCTTTGCTACATGGGCCCTTCCTTGACCCTGTCTTGGGAGATAGTCATGTGTATGTCCCTAGGACAGGGATGAGACTGGACTGTCTACAGACCCTGGCACAAATACACTAGGGTCTCAAATCTGGAAGAGACAACTGAGCTGAATTATTTTACATTTTCTGATTTATTCTAAGAAGTCAACCTATGTGGGCATGCAGTGAGAATGCTTAGCAATTAAAAAAAAAACACGAATGGCTTAGACACTAAATGTATAAATGCAAAGCATTGTTCTAATTAATTCTAATTCATTTTTTCTAAAGTAAAGAAAGCAGGTTACCTTGTATAATTATACTTTCATTCTACATATACTACTGCCTAAAGGTTAACAGCTATTATTCAACAATGTGCTGAAGAGTCAGCATTCTGGATGCAAAACCCATGTATCTTTCCTGGGATTAAGTGGGCCAAGGAAATAGAAATTGTACACTTTGCCTTATAATGGAAATGAGGCCTAAAAAAGACACAAGGACAAGTCCCAAAAAAACACACGTAAGCAAGTGCAACTGACAGGTAACAATAACAACTCAATGATGGGGGCACAGACTGTGCAACACCATTGTACAAATAAATGACAGCTCACCGTACTTCATCAGCTGCCTGCAGAACCAGAGCAAATTCTACGACGACACACACCAGCATCACATTCAGCTGAGAGGTGAATCTAGTCTCATGGCTTCACTTTTAAATTCTGTGTATGAGGAAGGGGTTCTCAGGAGGGCGGCTTTCCTGCAATGGGAGCTGCATCCCCATCGGTCCTCTGCTTCCCAAACCCAAGGTGGGCAGAGGGGGGAGAGGGTGCGTTCACCCAGCCCAGACCCTTCCCTCTGCCCTTCTAGGGCCCCAGAGCCCTGATCAAAAAGCAGCAATAATGTGGGCATGGGAGGGTCCCAGCATAGGAGGAGTCTTAGGGGGGCAGAGCCGGGAGGTTCTGTGGTTAGAATTTCAGAATCTCTGTGATTCAACAGCATTTCCAAATGTTTTCTTGATAATGTGGCACCTATGTTTCTCACCACAATATGTTTCCTTTTTCCTTGCTCATTTATGCAGTTTTGCTTATTTATATTCCCCTTCAAACAAAATTCTACTTCCTTAAATTATTTCCTTTATTTCTTAACTGCATCCTCTGCTGTGTGGTCCAACCCCAAGATATATTCTCACCCTAAGCCCCTTTCAGGGATGAATGGAGAATCCCACTGCACCCTAGGAATATACAAGCTCTCCTGAAATTATATTTATATGCGAAGTTTCATGGGCATGGCACTGTGGTAAACTGGGGGACACACAGCTCCTGGTCTCCATGGAAACACCCTTTCTTGGGAGGAAGTCACATAGAGGTTCAAACAGAGTGAGGTTCTGACGAGTGCCATGGTTCAGGAAGCCAAGAGAAGCCTTCCAGAAGCTTTGAGCAGCAGCTCCTGTCCTGTCTAGAGACGGAGCTTCTAAGAGAGCATTACAGTAAAGGGTAGAGCACATGGCCAGTGGAGTTCTAAATGGTGTGCATCCTAATAAAATAACTTCCCCTCAAGTTGACCTCCTTGCAAGGATCAGCAAATCAGTGTGAGGGATGATGAATGCCAAGGTCAGCATGGGAGTGGCGAGGAAATACTAAACGAGCAAATGCTTTTCCTTCGCCACATCTATATCCCCAGTTCTAATCTGTCTTATATTTCCTAATGTGTCCCATTAATCTGAGCCAGTTACAAACCTAAAATGTTGGTGGTGTTGCATATATTCATTCTGAAACAAGCACACGTCTCTGGACTATTTATGGGGTAATCAGGAGAGGACCTGGGAGTGGGCAGCCGTTCCCGCTTGTTATGTCAACTCTACTTAAGAAAACACAGATGCTTCACACAGGACAGTCAGCTTTCAGTTATGACTGGAATTGGACAGTAACCTCTCACATAATTATATTTCCTTGCTCTGTGCTGGATCATTAATCAGTCCAATAACATGACACATGAGTCAAATAACACAGAGTTAGGAATGATCACAGGCTATTCTTGCCCATTATCATGAACATACACAGAGAATGCTCTCCTAGCTCCAGTTCCAGAAAACTAATGGACTGAAAGATGTCGATGACCATGTGTTACATAACAAGGTTCTTCAGAATTAATCGTTCCAGATTCTACTTCTGTCGCATTTATACAGCATTTGAAGGTCCAAATGTTTATACAGATTGGGAGAGCTGGAATTGTTAGAGCTTTAATGCAGTATCTCAACTTAAGACTGACATTGATTCATGTTTCCCCATCTTTCAATTCCTTGTCACTCAGAACCATCAAGGACCTCATGTAATACCATCCATGAGCAATCAGTGTGTTTAAAGGGGGGTGTTTTCTGGGACTTTGTGGGGGTAGAGGACAGAGTTCTGCAAAAAGATAGAATGTTCAGGAAAAGTAATCACTGGGGATTTCACCGGTTGAGACAAATACATATTATGCTTACAGTGGAGAATTGTAAAAGACTTACATTTATGAGCCTTCAGTCCTTCAAAGGAAACTGGTCCCATCTCATAATACTCATATTCCAAGGAGTGGTCAGAGTTAGATGCAGACTGCTGAGATGTTCTGTTAGAAATTGACCTCTGGGCAGACATCTCCACTGTGCACACATGGAGAAAGGCAAGTGCAGAACCTGTTAATTCACCCACAGCTGCTCAGGGACTCCAATTGCTCTTGACCACCTTTGAGATTTCAGCGGGGAGGTCCTACCCACTAGGTCAGGGAGAGGCCCACATGGCTGCCCACACCTCATACAAAGTGACCATTATTTCTTGTTCTCTCTCCACTAGACTGGAATATATTTCAGACACCATGTCTTCTTTTGTTGTTGCCCCCCCCACTCTGCATAACTTACCCCAATACCTGGCACATAATCAACTTTCAATAACTGATGAAAGAATGAAGAGAAAAAGAGAGAGAGTACATCAATACCTCTGAGCTTGCAACTTCAGCCTCATCACCTATACCTGAGTGAATACGTAAAGAACCTACAGAGTCCCAGCCAGTTTGGCTCAGTGGATAGAGAGTAGGCCTGTGGACCAAAGGGTCCCGAGTTTGATTCCAGTCTAGGGCACATACCTTGGTTGTAGTCTCCTCCCTGACTGGGCCCTGGTCAGGGCGCATGTAGGAGGCAACCAATCTATGTGTTTCTCTCACACTGATGTTTCTCTCTGTCTTTCCCTCTCTTTTCTACTTTCTCTAAAAGATCAATGGAAAAATATCCTTGGGTGAGGATTAACAACAACAACAAAAAGAGCCTACAGAGAATAAATAAAATCAGTATCAGGAGTGAACTAATTCAGCATATTGCTATTGAGCATCTACTATACACAACAAAGACATGCAACCTAATTCTAGTCAAAAGGGATGAAGAAAAGAGAAGTGGACAACATAAGTTGCATAAAGGGAGAAGATCCCCAATGGATGATCCTCCTAAAATTTGTCCTGTTTTCGGGATATCCCAAGTGTCTTCTTTCTGAAGACTTCAGATTAGAAAATTCTGACATTTTTGAGAGAAGTTGCACTGTGTGGCATGGATGCCAAAGGTAACAGGTCAACAGAGCCCGTATTAAATACTGAACACCTGCTGTGTGCAAGACACTGTCCACTGTGGGTGATAAAGACTAACTGGCACTTTAAGCAAACTAAGTCAGGAGGGTCTATGCGAGGAGCTAGGGCTTATGGAAGCATTGTGAGAGCCCTACAAGGGAGAACTCTGTGTTCGTAGTAAAGCTCTATGGTTCTAATTTCCATTCCCTTTACTCCCTTTCCCTCCTTTAAATACCTTCCATATTGGCACAGGCCAGAACTTGCACATGACTTGCCCTGTCTGCATGCCCTGGTTTGCAAGCCTTTCTTTTTCCTGAATAAATCCTTTCTGCTGATGAAACACCTAGTCGACATGGGATAGGAGGAGACACTTGAGACACAGACCAGGACCCACAGACCTTCCCTTATAATGGGGAAGGAACACAAAGTGACAAATAACAGTGATTTGAATGAAATACCAGCCAAAACCGAGATTCACTGAACAGTTACCACCACTGGGGTCCACCCACCTAAAGCTTTCTGAAGCTCCCATGCTCCCACCCCCACTGTAGGTCAGTGTCACCCACTGCCACCTCCCAGGCACAACCCCAGAGAAACTGAAGCAAAATCTCCCTTTTTGCTTCAAGGCATGCGTCTCCCCTTTCCCTCTTCCTTTCTTCCCCACCCCCCATGGAAACAAACTCCAACTGCTCCTGGCATCATATTGTTCAAAAGATCGAGTGCTCTGAGCCAGAGTTATGTATATGCCTGTGTCAGAACTGGTGTGACTCTGAGGCCCAGCCAGATGAATTATTCCCCCAAAGGTAGAAGAGAGCGTGCCAATTCTCACTTGGGAAAGAGAGCTACGCAAATTGTAAGAAAAGCTGGCCTTTAAAGTAGTATTCAGCTCCCTGTCAAATGCCAGCACAAAAATAACATAAAACCATCCCCACAGTATCATCTTCGGCCTTTCTCTTATTTGAACAAGGGGTTATTTCCCTCAACAACAAAATTAATTTCCTCAGAAAATGAGAATTAATGACTCAAACCTAAGAGGCACTATCCTCATTCATGAGAATTTTATGAGAGACAGAGAGGAGTAGCTAGCTCTTCAGTTGGAGGGTCAGAGATAAATGACAGATGAAGATAAACGTAATTTCAATTGTAGAATGTTAGAATTTCACACCATACAGGGAAAAAGTCACCGAAAGACCAGGGTCTTCATCTTTGCTCTACTTCCATTTGCTATGTGGACAGGCAAGACACTCGTCTCTCCCAGCCACATTTTCCTCCTCTGCAAACCTGCTCATCCTCGCTGCCTGAAGATGCTGTTGTCAGGATATGGTCTGGCTACATTCACTAATAGCTACCATGATCACCCAGCTGGTTTTTTTGCTTCTACTGTAACCCACTGTACTCCTTTCTCCACACATCAGCCAATGATCTTTTTTTAAAAAAACAAAAAACTGCCCTTGTCATTCTTTTGCCTAATTCTTTTAATGCCTTCTCATTGATCTAAGGATAAAGTCCAAAATCATTAAAATGTCCTATAAGGTTATAACTTAGGCCTTGATGTCTCCTCCGATCATGCCACATATCCTATCAAACTGTACTTGCATTGATTGCATTTCCTCAAATACTTCATGCTGTCTGCTACCTGCACATATGCTGTTCCCTCTGGCAGGAGTGTCCTTCCTACCACCACAGCCCAACCCATTCTTCCTTCTCTGCTCATCATCTACATCAGGGATCAGCAAATCTTGCCAACCACCAGCTCCTGTACTGACTGCAAGTAAAGAATGATTTTTACATTTTTAATGGTTAAAAAAGTCAAAAGAATGGTAATATTATGTGACATGAGAAAAGTACATGAAATCCAAATATCAGTGTCAGAAATAAAGTTTTATTTGGAACACAGCCACCTTTGTTTGGTTTTGCATTTTGTAAGGCTTCTGTAGTATTACAATAACAGAGCTCAGGAGTTGTCACAGAGATAGTGTGTCCCAAAGGCTAAAATATTTACTTTTTGGTCTTCTATAGAGAGTTTGCCAACCTCTCCTCTAGAGCAATGAAAAAGAAAAAAAGAAAGATCTGAGCTTCAGTTTTTCCATCAGGAAAACAAAGATGGCATCAGTACCTACTTCATGGGATTGCTGTTAAAGTTTCAATGTGATATTGCATAAAATGTCACTCGCCTGGATCCAGGTAAGATCAATAAATAGTAGCCGGGACTATTATTATTATTATTCGCTAAACAATCCTATTTGGGACAGAAAAGCTTAGGCTTGTTCTTCAGACATCAGCCACTCCCCTGTCAGTCAATTCTACCAAATTCACCACGTAGTTAGTTGATCTATGTGTTCTAGACAAATGAATAAAATTACAATGAAAATAACTCAGTAGTTATTTGTTTAGGTTGCTTGAAAGTTATCATGAGAAACATGTACATCCTGGAATTCATGCTGCTCCATCCATCAAAAAGATGGTAATAATCTCTCTATTTACAGAAGGGAAATAAGATGAAGTCTGGCTTGTACATATCATTTTTATTGGAAATCAGTATTACAGACAATGTAATAAGCTGAGCAAAGGGAAGCAGCAGGCTTCATCTAGTGTCAAGACTGTTAATAGAAAAACAGAAAAGTGCATAAAACAATGAAAATAAAGCCGAGATAGTGTTTTCCGTGTTCTATCTCAGCTGCTGGCCCCCTGGCTATACTGTTCTCCACATCTGCACACATTGCTGGCCCCAGCTGTGGTCACTCTCTTGGGTTAGAAAGAAACATCGACACCCCCCGCTCACAAGGCTGACCAAGGACCAGCATAAAATATAGCTGTGAAAGAGACAGACCCAAGAAATATCAACCACTTACCTACCATAGAGCAAATGTTTCTTAATTCCTCCTTTTTCTCCTCCTTACACCACTCCTGTTCACCTAATGAACCATTTAGGGATGCAGAGAGACCAAACATAATTGAAAGTCACATCTGCAAAGACCCTGAAAGTGGAAAGGCTGATCTGTGCGCTGACAAACATACCTGGAGACAAGAGTGAGTGAATAACGGAGCCAAAGGTTCTGGGCGAATAACAGTATCAGAGGTTCTTCAGGGAATGAAATGCTAGACAACCCCTCCCCAGCAGCCACCGTTTCGGCAGCCTTCGCATAAAAGCAGGGGTTTTGTTTCCACTGTTTTGTTTGTGTGTTTGTTTGTTTTTAATTTTATTTTATTGCTTAAGGTATTACAAAGAGCATTATGTTTCCACTGTTTCTCCCTCTCAGTTCTTGAATCCCAGAGACAAAGGTTTGGAGGACAGACCTCTGGCCTCTCCTTTAAAGCAGTCACCTTGCACCCTTGCAAAAGTCCACGAGGCAATATTGTTTTCATCCAAGTCTCAGAGTAATCAGCATGGGCGGTCAATGGCACAGTGACCCACAGCAAGCAGGAAGCTTAGCAAGGCCGGATTTTGTATAGCATCCGTTATCAAAAACAAGGCTGCCTTTCCAAGCTTTGCAGAAACATAAGCTCACTGTGTCACCATTCAGAAGCTGCCAGCATGTCTGGGTAGCAGCCCCAGAGACTGATATTCTCACCAGGAACATCTGGCTCACAGCAGGCGGTGAGGGAAAGGTCGTCTGGCACCAGCTCACGTGTGTGCGGGGCGGGTGCTGAGAGGCAGGCAGCTGCTCTCTCTGAACACAGCAAACAGGAAACGTAGCACTTGAAGGAGCCCTCTGCGCCTCTGCTTCTCCCCTATTTCCATAATGTTGGATCCATGATATCAGCATCATTAAAAATAACTTCTTCAAGAGGAAACATCCTAACCAAGCTTCCCGGAGCAGCAATAAGAGATTAATTGTTCTTCTGAGCTGCTAAAAGCAGCCTTGCCAACAATAATGAAAAGTTACCACCTCACCTCAAAGCCACACCTGAAAAGGAAGTCTACCTGTGCATGGGGTAGTTTAGGCCAACTTCTGGGGAGGAGAGGGATACAAATATATCTCAAATCCAGGAGGAAAGAACATGATTAGCAGGCCCCAGACACCTTTCGTGGCTATGTTAACATCACCC